ATATATAATTTATTAATGTAACTTGTTTCTTTGATTCAAGCGTATTTTCTAGAAGGATCCCTTTTGTTGTAACTTGGGTTATAAAAATAACAGCATCCAATCACCTTCTTCTTCATCATCCTCAGGGGGTGAAGGAGCCGTGGTACCAGGCCCAGCAGGGAGGATGTTTGGACTGGCTGTGGTTTTCCTTCTCTCTCTCTCTGATTCACTTTCCAAACTCACCACCTCATAAAGCGTGTCAGAGGCAGGACTCTTCCGTTCTTTTCGCTCCATCTGAAAAAAGAAAATGTCTGATCGACTAATTCAAGAGTTAACAAGGAGGGTCTGCGTTCTTGTGTAACATGGTGAGATTATTGTTTTAACAAGTTACGTTGMGCAGAAAAGTCACTGCATGTCAATGTTTTAAAAGTGCACCAAACAAATAAGCTTTCATTGTAACAGCAACTTAAAAWGGACCGTCTTTGGGCTATTTCCCGTGGGGAAAATGGATTCTTCTTCAGAAGACACCTGCTCAGATGTTCTTCAGACTTGTTCTAAAATAATCTATACAAATATTTTATTTGAATTTTGAATCTTCTGCCAAGTTTCTTTAAACAGAAACACTGTTTGTCACAACATTCAATCAGTAAAAGTAACCAATTTGAGATGATACAAACATGTCAACTSAAACCGAGTCTAAACTAAATGGACTTTTAGGAGACAAGAATTAAAATGTTTTAAAGTTTATGTTCTTCAACAAACATGGTTCATGTTGGAAACAGGGAGAGCTAAAAARGATTTTTGGAAGATATAAACCGACAGCATTTTCTGCTGTTTGACTCCAGAAACAAACCTGTCGCAGTTTAAGGTAGAAGGTCTCAGTGTAGCTACGCTTGCTGAAGGGCCAGAACAGCCTGTCGTTAGGAGAACACACTCTGACCCTGGTCTCCAGCAGAAAACGAACTGGTTCCTCCACCTCAGTAATCACCAGGTCCACTGCTGTCGTCATGTACATGAACTTATCTTTAAAAAAAAAACAAGAAAACATATTTAGAATCAGCCTCGATTAGTAACTCTAATTTCCAGATATAAGAATAATCAAACTTTCTWTTAGAATTCTGATGTTTCCATGTGGCTAAAAATTTAAACCTATCTGTCATATAATGGTGTGAAATGAGAGTGAATAAATAATCAAACAACCAGCAGATATAAACTATAGATCTAATATCCTGAGAACAATTATGTCTTATTTAAACCTTGGACACATTTCTTGGCTCTTACCTTTGGGCGTTTCCTCGTTCACAGCCTGGAACTGAGGCGTGTTGGGGTTCCAACTTCCTGTGATGATGTAAGACTTCCCGTCTGAGCTCTTTCCCATTGACTCCTGATGGAGCACGAGGAGGAAAAAGGTTGGCAGACACACAAAAACACGCGACTGCGCTTCCAATACACGCATGCAAGAATCACCCACCAGGTCTAACAGGTGCATGTCGCTGTTCTTCACATTTCTACCTGGGCTGAGCAGGAGGCCGAAACACCTGGAGAACACAAACCCAAACRTCGTTGCAAGACAGGAACAAACGTGACGGGATTTAATTTACATAAGAAAAATGGAAGAGAAAAAAAATGAGGGGCAGGGGAAACCAGGCAGAGAACAATAACTCTTTCACTATAGAGTACAACAAGTTTTGAAACATTACATAAATTACAGGAAATATTTTCCTGAACTGATGGTCTAACACAATCCAGAGCCTGAAAAAGACTAAACACATTCTTTCAGTCCTCACCTTCCCTGACATCATGAAACAATAACAAACCAAGGAGAAAATGGATGTCTGCTGAGAGTGTTGAAATCTAACGGATTTATTTAAGCCTGAAAAACTGACCTCTGAGACAAATGTGCCTTAATCACAACCCTGAAGCTGTCCCAAAACACTTAAAAACCTGGCGTACGGACGTGAAGATGTTCAACAGCGTTGTGTTCAATTAAAGCTGAGCGATTCCWCTCTGGAGTTCATTCGGATGAAGTTAAAAATGACAAACTGCAATAACTGTAGCAAACAGGGGGATATCCGCCAGTCTGACGGGTGAGCAGAGTCATGTCTTCAATATTTTAGTGTTGCAGCACAAATCTACAGTAAGAAAAGCCCGAACTCAAATCACACTGTGCCCTGGTTTGAACACTGACCTAGATTATTTCTATCAGCTTTAATGACATTTACTTCTAGAGTTTTATTGGTCTGAATAAATCCTCTCAAAGAACCACTGWTTCTGTATTAAAACCATAAATGTTACTTGACAACAGCGACATCATAGTGCTCAGATACAAAATCTTGATTTAACCCCTTCCGCAGCATTAAAGCAACAATATATGTGTTTGTGCTTTATTTTACCTCTCTATCGCCAGCTCTTTATTGGAAGTCTGCTGAATGTAGATGACAATTTTCTTGTCCAGTCCTGCACGAAGCTTGAAGCTCTGCTTGTCCTTGTCTTTTGCTACAGCACTGAAAATTAAGAAAAAAAAGGGAAAAATTCAATAGTTTTGTAGAAATCTCAAGTTTCACAGAAACACTAGATAGAATTACCGACAGAAATGTGATTGTTTTCATTAAATTAAATTATATTAGGAAAAATAACATGTAGATAACTTCCTCCTTTACAGAATTTACGACTTACTGGACATTGAGCCAGTCTTACCAAAATAACATATATTCTAGTTAGTTTAGAATAGATCCATTAATCAAAAATAAAAGCTACACAAGAGTCACGTTTTAAAAGGCTCTGTTCATGGTCCTGCTCTTGTTTTTTTCCTGTTCAGTTTTTTTGAAGCTGGAAAAGAACCAGGCTTTTGACAGAAACAGTAATCAACATTCTCCAAGCCTCCACAGACATAAATTTCAGATGAAATACAAAAAAGGGGAAAGAAAAATCTCTGAGCTGAGTAAGCCCAGGCAAAAGATAACATCCATCACTTTTGTAAGACAGTTASGTGAAATGCCCACACAGACCAGGTCACCTCTATCCTCTCTCTGACCATTCATAAAACACAGACAGAGCCGGGCACTTCCCGCTCAGATGTGAGCATTCAGAAATGAAGGTGGCAGGGTGGAACTTAAATATTAAATGTGTGAAAGATGTTTTTTTTTTAAACCAGCTACAAAGTTGATGTGCATCATCATCAATATTCATGCTTTATTTAGGTGAMTGCACTTAGTTTTGTTCTACATTTGTTCACAGTGAAGAAAAAAAAATCACTTTAATTCTAACAGTACAGAAAGTGCCATTAATAAAACAYGACAGTGAAGCTTATGAATCTGCCTCATGGAGATTACAACTACTATTGTTCATACCTTTTTAACAGATGGTGGAAAATGAGCATATTTTGTAATGAACAGGTAACATATGCTGTCATTTATGGAATTTTCCTGGATGAACTTTCCTTATTAAAGTTGGTACATTCCCTTTGAACATATGAAACAGCAGGATGTCTGGCAACAACTCCCCTGATCAAACAAGCTGAATGCGGTTCTCTCCAAACTTATGTAGTATCACTTTTTTTACAGTGCCAAAAGGAAAAGCTTCTCCAGCAAAGCTCATTCAAGTCAATGGGATGGTTTGGAGTGAACACTTTCTGTAGGATTTTTTGTAGTTTGGCTCAGAGGTGCAGACAGCCAGTCTGATGCAGCCTGTGAGGTGTCTGTCAGTCAGAGACCTCCTGTAATTTGACATAATTATTTTCATCTCAGTCATCTCACAGAGGTAAGTGGAGCCAAAGTAGGCACTCAATTTTATGCACATGTGGTGAGGAGAGGGAACCTCTCTCTGCTTTCAACTCCCCAAAACATTGTCCCTTGATCTGGCTTTCAGTTCTGTCATTTTGCAATTAAATTCATGCAAATCAAATAAATATGGAATTTGACTGCTATCTGCTCGACAACAAGGAGCTGAAAAGAGTTTGAGACAAATGCAGAAACGTCTTCCATGAATTTAACTCACTAAAACGGGAACTGAGCTCTGCTGTCACTTTTTCCAGATGTGCGCGGTACTCCTCCGGATGTAAAGCATCCTTGTCTTTGATGGTTTTAGATGGTTTTCCAAGTTTGGAAAATGCATCATCTTCCTGTTGTTCAGGTGTGTCTTGCAAACACAAAGATTGGCTTTGAAAGAATTCACTGCACTTGCGTGGGACAGGTGTTTGCTTTTTCACTGGAATTCAGTATTGAGGGCAGCTTCGCGGTTAAATCCGTCACAGATCCCAGATCAAGCAGCCATGCATCAGAAGGCAATTCTTTGTGCTCCTCATTCCTTGTTGACAGAAAGGTCCTTATATCTGAAAGCAAATCAGTGCATCTCTGCAGCAGTTTGCCACGACTCAGCCAGCAAACATCAGCATGGAGAATTAGGTCTCCATAAGCAGCATTAAGCTCATCCCTTATCGACTTGAATAAGAGGTGCTGAAAAGCTTTAGCTCCAATAGAGTTGATCAGTTTGACTACCAATGTCATGACATGAGAAAAGCCCAAGGCGTTCCTAACCAAAGCTTGTTAGAGAATCATACAATTGTCACTCATGTCTGGGAAAGCAGGATCATTGCCACACAGCGCTATAAACCCCAAGTGCGCATCCCACATCGCCAGCACTCCATCAGTAGTGATTGCTACCAGTTTATGGATTGCAATGTCATTTTAATGCACATATTTTTAAAACTTGTTAAACATATCCTCATGTCTTGTTCTGTCCTTCATGTGCAAAAGAGTGAGAAAGTCCTCCTTGCCTCCTGAAAAGCCATTTTCACAACTGCGAGTTGTACTGTGTTAATTACATCCAAAGACTCGTCCAGTTGTAGTGAAAAATATTCACAAAAGTGACGAGATCTTTAAGACCTGCCAGTCCATGTCCTCTGACGTGGTGATTCTACTCTTCTCGTCACAGTTGCAGGGCCGAGCGAGATACTCTTGATTGCTGCTCTGATTTCATCTTTGTTTCTGAAGTCACACAAAACTGTGTCTGCTGTGCCTTTAACTCCCCATTGGTAAATGGCTTCTTGTGTTCAGCCCAAATATGACTCGCACGCAGCGATGCTTCAGCTTTTTCTCGTACAACAGGTGCAACGAAGAGTGACTGCAGGGCTTCCAACTCCAGTGTTAGCTCCTCAACTTTATTAGCACAAATAGCACTCTTAAGTGGAAAGAGTTCCTTGAACATCAGATGGTTTGGGTTGTGGCACCACTCCAAATTTACTCTTTCACTCAGTGCTTGAGTCTGGTACATACACACAGCATGTCATGCATGCCTTTGACTAAAATACAAATAAATTCATCCTCACATTCTGGATGAAAATGGTATGTTTTTGACTTCTTTCATGGAGCCTCTGCCATTTTAGCTGCCTCCTACCTTGCAAAGATGTGTCTTGCAATTAGTGACAAAGTGGAGGTTCACTTGTAATACCGTACCGTACGATTATTTTTCTCGATTAATCGATTATTCTAACAACAAATCTAAAAGTTATTCTGATGTGAGTGCACTGGAAATTTAAAATGTTTTCATCAAATTAAGAAGAACAGTTCTTTAATATTGTAATATTTTCTTTTAATAGTTTTTTTCATGGACACAAAATATGCACTCTAGAGTCAATTCTTTAACAAAAAAGCTTTAAAGATTTAACATCAATATAAAATCTCAACCAAAGCAT